ATCATCAGGCTGAATGGGATTTAGTTACAGGCGCTCATGATGTCGATATGTGAAAAAATATTGCACCCAATAAGATATGACAAATCATAAATGTGTGGGATGGGGTGCCTATCAGGAATGGTGCTACGGTTAAGTGCTCTGTAATCTCCACAAGGTCTCTAATTTGATGCTGTTTTCTTCACTACCATGTTTAACAGTTATGTCCACATGCTTTGAGACGGTCGAATTATTCCCAACTTGAACCTGTGTTGGAACTCATCCTTAGCTATTTTCAGCCTTTTCGAATGTATAAGTCGTTGATGGGAGAAAACTGGTGTACTGCTGGTGGCTATGTATTGACAGACAAAGTGCGTCGTATTCGGCGAATGAAAATTTGGTTTCTATAGATCTGGAAATCTATGAAGGCGCTTGTAGTTTGTTCAGTAGTAAAAGGGTTAGGGAGCAGAGGTATGATGTACATCTTGTGTTTCCTGGAACGGAAATCTGCGTGTTGACATCAAGCAAACGCTGCCTTCGTAGATCCAACAAGCTTAAATGAATCAGGAAATCCGTTCCTAATCTGGGCTGCTATACATCTGCAAATGGCGAATATCCAATTGAATTGTCGACGTAGTCCAAGGCTGACTAGTAGGGTTCGTTGACCGTAAGTTTTAATGCTGGTCCCATTAGCTGCGGTTAATCACATCGAGGATGGATTGCCGTTAACAAAAGAGCGATTAGAAGTATGGTGCTGATGTCAGCACTAGTATCGACAAGAAAACGACAACTGGGGTCTGACCAAAAACAATGAGTCGGCGAGAGTTCGATTACTTTTGGCCGTGGACGGTGCTCGCTTCTATCATCTGGCTTGTTCGTTTCCCGACAACGGGGACTCCCTTGGCTGCGTTTGACGAAAGGAGCAGAGTTGAGTGCGTTTGCAGGTTGAATGACAGAAGCAACTATCCTGCCAACAAGTAGTTGCAGTGCGCGATGAAGGAGAGCTTCTCTTCCGAATACATGAAATAGTACTAGAAGAACGGCGTCCTGTAGATCGATTTAACCAAAGTTCAGCTATCTGTTTAGGCAAATTGTCCAGACGGTTGGTAATCTAGTTTGGTAAACTGTGTGTTTCAGGTGCATGGGTGTTAGATGCGCTGCGCTGGATTATTTTGTCATAGCGATGGAAAGAAAATCCCACCACGCCCCGTTGTTTTGTGAGTTTGCCTCACTCGCCCCTATTCATTCCGCCTTCTCTTTTATAGTTTCCTGCATACGTGTTTTTGTTGCCTCACATTTGCGACCAGCTAATGGCACTGAATCTTATGCTTATTAGCTTCTCGCTTATTCTGTATTTCGCTACTTCATGTGGCGCCGTATCGATCCTTTTACCTTTGAATTGACCAGCATTGATTGATCGAATGTTAGCCTTTCTGCATAGCCTTTGTATATACCCTGATTTGATTTAATCGGTTGATTTGTACTCACGGACGCTTGGCTGCGACGAGTAACACTGGTTTGCATCCGGATTACCCTGCGTGTTCACACTACCGTTAGTCGGCGGAAGCGGTCGTGTGGTCGATGCAATATATCTAAAATCTTGTCAGCAATACTAGCGATTTGCGTCAATGGAACACTGTCAACGTTGCTGGCAAGAATAGCTTGTACTTTCTTAGGTGAAGCCTTCATCTATGGCTGCTTGAATAACGTGTCATTCGGTTTGCCTGAAGACGACTGAGAAATTGGGAAGAAGTGTGTACCTCAAGTGCTTCGCCGCTAACCAATTTTGCCAGACTCTTTTGCTCAGAAATGTTGGTTCGTTGGATGATTACATCTTAAAGCTGAGAATAAGGCTTAACATCATTTGGTGACGATAGAGTATCCCGTAGGTCAGCAACAACCGCTGGTGGCAATACGGCTAGCACATAGTGAAACATTGTATGTTCGTTTGTGATATTGCGAAGAACAAACTGGGCTTGGACCTGGGTTAACCATATGTGTGGGTCATGGTGCCAAAAATGCTGAAGCTTCACAGAAACTTAGTTAATGTTTGACAGTGAGGATTGTGTGGAATCAGTCTGATTTGATGGAACAGCCATAGCAGCCAAAAATCTGGATAATATAAGGTGTCACCTCGTGGTCACCCAATTATTAATTCCGCTTGGATCGCGATGGATTACAAACTCGGATGTTAGACTCCAATATAAACGCTAATATTGTACAGGTAATAATGGTACATAAAAGCGAGTCTTACTACCTTCGCTTGTATGTAGGCTGTAAATCCAAGTCCGATTGTGGATGGTTGCGACGATAGCTGCGTCGGACTCTGAGCACATGCGTGGATACGCTCGCGTTCGTTGTCTGGCCCTCCAGTTGTGTGTGGTGCATCTGCTGCGACTTAAGTGTGCTCGCTTTTTGCGTCTGCGTGAGGTAAAGTGCTTCCTCAGTCGATCATGGTCGTCACGTGTCTTACCGCACCGGCTGTTTTGACATCTGTGTGTGGTGCAGGTCGTGTGTTAATTAGGCTTTTCTGTGTATTGAATTAAATGAAAGTACAATTACAAAAACATGTTATGAGTAGGTTATAAACGGACCTAACGGTCTGCACGAAAGTTTCCTCCGAATGTCGTTCAACGATCTCATCCATGCGCTGTGATACATCGGGTTTCAGCCTCACTCTGTTGTTTCCTGCACGGTTGCGCTTAATAATGACGTAACCCCACCTGCAGGCATTGATGATGTTTCATACTCTGCTCACCTTGACATCGGCGACTTCAGCAGCTTTGCGGATGCTTTTTCCGTCGACGAACTCAAGTTCAGTGACAATCGCTTGCACCTTCGCTACATCGAAGATGCGCCTCCTCGTCGTTCGTCGCTCATTTTTGTCGGTTCGTGCAGCAGTATGCTAATAAAGCTAGGCGTCTGATGGAATCAGATGTTCGCGCCACAGCACAGGTTCACACACACACACACACACACACACACACACACACACACACACACACACACACACACGAAATGTACGAAGGCCGATAAGGCGTCAGAGCAAAAGCAGATCACTGCCTTTGATCTTATGATCAAGAGAAGGGCTTGCACTAGAGTCCGCTGCTTGGAAAATAATGGTTACATTAACCCGACTGCAATGTGGCCTGGTCATCGCTAGTTGCCTTGCTCATCAAAATTTGCTAAAAAGTTGCCGATTTTATGCTTAAAATAAAAAATGTCCAGCTTGATTTGCAAAACCTCCAGTTGAAAGTGAAAATGGTATGTATCGGTGGCCTCATCTGTACCCAGATTTGCCTGTCATTGTGACTATGAACAGCCACAGGACGCCTGAGCTTACTGATGGATCATGAATTGATTGCGATGCACCACTAACAGGTCAATCCACTTTCCGCATACCCAATATTAACCCGAAGGGTTAAGACTGGGAGGAGCATGGATGTAGGCGACGACTGTCTTGTAACCTGTTCACATTCCTTCAACACGCAGATCATTCACATGAAGTTGGGAAAACATTCATAGTAAACGTACACAGGGCGGTTGCTGACTCCTAGGTCGTTCCAGCCCAGATAGAGGCAGTTTTTGAGCCTAGTACTGTCACCAAGGCTATGCACCCTCTCTTCCCCAGCAACGATTAACAGTATACCGGAGCCAGTTATCGAGGTATTGGACTTCAACTAATAGGTACCTTACCAATTTTCGCACGATGCGCAGCCAAACCATAGACCTTAACTTTCATCCAGCGATCCATCAGTTATCCCACTACTATGTGCTTGCCTTGGCAACTGTTCAGTTCCCCATAAGTTTCTACCTTTATCCGGTGGTTTACACGTTCACTCCCTCATTTGTTTATCTTCACCGTAATCTTTGTTCCACTCACTAAATCTGATATCGCCGTGTTCATGGCATTGTACTAATGTGGACGCATGTTAAGCGATTATCAGGCCACCCGTTGACCATAGACCACAGTCTTGTATGTGTGTGCCTGACGTTCACCGATAAACTGCTCGCTTTATGATTCGGCCAGTGACTTTGCATAAAGTTCCACTGCTATACGGTCACTTTACTTGTCCTCTGGCGGTCCGCTTTGAGCTCCGAAATTGACAGCGCCCTTTCTCCTCGCTCGTTTACTTGCATTCTTGTTGACGGTGATACACTGGGACCCTGAAAATTTGAGATTTGGTCCACTTTACTTAACTGTATGTATTTTATTAGTAACGCATATATTGTGATCCAAACTTGTTTTGATTTCGGAATCATTTGGCTGCGCGTCATTCAACCTTCGACTGGTGAACGTTACACTTGGTCTGTGTTAGTAGATGGAACTGAAAGTGACGTACTTACCATGCTCAAACAATCATTCCTTCAGCATACTCGTCGCCTCTTCTGTTTTGTCTCTTCTTGCCCACCTTGATGGTTTGCCCTACAAGATCGGTTAATGCACACACGATCGCACGTGTTACATCACATGAGGTCGATGGACCAGGCGCCGTCAACATATGTGCTTGCGTAACCTGTGTTTATCTTCCTGGTGTAACACCTATTTCTCTTGGTTCTGTGCAGCAGCATTCCGGATGTGCTCACGTCATCTTTGTCGATCCACTGCCATTTCTTTCTAACACCTAAAGTCAATATTTACTTCGTGATGAGCGCACCTTGGTCATGGCCTGGTAGCGTAGCTCCGGTTTGCCTACGTTTCTCTTCTCTCTTGAATAAGCTGACGAAATAACAAGTGTTTCGGTATTCTGATAGAATCCACACAGGGAACCTGCCCGGGCTACAGGTGTCCCAGTAGTAACATGCAATCCACCCCGCAACATTTCTCTCCGGCGAAGCACTTTATTGTCAGAAACTCCGTCTCTGCCGTAGAAGCGAGCCGAGATTATCATTACTTTTTATAATATCAGTGTGGTTATAAAGGTCAGCAGATGCTATTTGTCTATCTACCTATATATATATATATATATATATATATATATATATATCTCTGCCGTCTCAATCGCACCTTTTTTACATTTCAGATCGTTGCCCTGCTGCCTTCAACTTCTTCTTCTAAATCAAATAGCCTGTGATCTGCCTTCCAGCTTTCACTCCGCTCACTTACATTCCCTTATTCGGCTCACACAGGCCATTCTTGAGCTTCATCCTTGGTCGGCTGATCGTATTGAAGCCACGCCGCCTAGAACCATAATGTCCAACACTATATGGCCCTTTAGACCAGCATACAAGGATGCCGTTGAAGTGACCGACAAGATCCACAATGAGTTTGCGATCGTAGACAACACTTGCATCAACTTGGATACCAATGAATTGTTAGTGAATATCTGGCTTGATGCTTTCGCTCACCTTCCGCCACCTCTGACGTCTGAGCCAATTTTCCGTACGACCTGCCTCAACATGCATTGGGACTGCGAATCCACCCAAAGTAGCCATCCTAGCCGCGAGCAAGGCGCATTACTTCTTGACATTCTTACTCTGGCACTTATTCCACCACGCTCTATATCTGAGTCCAACATTTCCTTGCTACGATCACGCTGTGATTTGCAACCACTATGGTTCAGATTCATGTTTTCGACTTTGTCTCTCTGGGGCCTCTACACACCGCATTTCGTCCGCGCTTTCGTGACGCATGTTTGCTCCAATCTGTTTGCGCTAGTTGATGGTGTGGCACATGGACACGGCCATCAGTCCGATAGTAATAAGTAAGTCCCATCGTACTGCTAGGTTTGGCTCGTTTTTGCTCTCGTGGCTATAACGAGAAAGTTTATCAATGTGAGGCCTCCCTTATTTTTCAGTTTTTTTCCTTTGTACTGTGCCCCTTGTAAACCTGGTTTTCACCCAGAAAGTCTCATATGGCTTTAGGAATGTGTATCATTTTATTATGCGCAAGACTGCTACTACAACGAGGCCAATGATGATTTAACCCTCTTGCCTGCTAGATATGGATAGTATATATGCCTTTTAATTGACATTTAGCGTGCTTGAAGTGTGGCGATTTATATTTAGCAACGAGATTGCGAACCACTTCCAAACACAACGGTTAACTGTGCTAAGCCAGATGATCGGAGACAACGAGAAACTTATCTTGTCCAGACTTCAATTTCCAGATGGGAAGGATAAAAATCCAGAACTTCAGGGAATATGACACCGAGCAGGTGCTTGAAACGCTTGAACGCTTTTGCTTTTTCCAAGGAAACTTACGTCTAGAGCTACAGGATAATCCACACGCAATCATTATAAGACAACCACAATTGCTTCTTCCGCTACTTTATCTTTGACCGTTTTGTTGCGCAGTTCCTGGGCTTCGACCATGATGTAGAGACTTTGAAACCATCTGATTAAATAGCTCATTATGGAATATTCGTTGCTTGATTGGATTGCAACACACCATTTCTACTTGGACCGCGAATCACATTAGAGTGAAACTTGGTCAATGCGATCACGGGGCTGTAACCGAAACAGACGGACATTTGATGTTGCCCGCCCGAAAACACTGCGTACCACGACGCGTTTCGACCTCAACTGGTCTAAATAAGGAGAGATGGCACGACCTTTGGCTACTGGGGTAGTTTCGGCCAACATCCCAATGGCCCCGGGTTCGAATATCTGTTAAATCTACCTGATGAGGTCAAATAAGGTCGCAACGCGTCGTGGAGTGCAGTGTTTTCGGGTGGACAGCATCCAATTTCCAAATGCTTCGGCTGCGGTTCTTGTGATGAGGTTGACCAAGGTTCACTTCCATACGAATCACGGTTAAGCTTACGCAATCCAATCACACAATAATTACTTCAAAATGCCCCTCCAATCCGTCATTAACCGTTGTGCCCGGTAGCCAAAGGGGTCGAGGTCTCAACTAATATCCCAATGGTCCAAGATCCGAAGCCTGTTCTATCCATCTGGTTTGTTCAAATAAATGAAACGCATCGTGCATAGCACTGCTTTCGGGCGTGCAACGCCCAATTTTCATCTGCGAAACCGTCTGTTTTATATGATATACATATAAGTATAATGTTTCCTTCGTCACCACTCTACCATCTTTTCCTCGTCTGTTGCCACGGGATCCTTTGCATTTCCCCTTGCACTCTTGATGCTTGTGCCTAACAGTCGATTGCTTCTATTACAGCGACCGTTGTTAATCCCTTGCATCATTGACCGACAGACTGATGATTACCATTTGATGATATTCCCACCGACCTGTCTGAAATTTGTTTTGTAACCAGAATGCACAATGAGCCTTTTTATTCGACTTTGGATAGGCACATGGATGTTCACATCAGTGAAGTGGCGGTCGATCAGAGAATACTTGTGCATAACCTTAACTCACTGCAGAATTCGGAAGGATCGTGCATTCGAATAAAAGGTGGCGCGTCATTTTATGTAAAGGATTTGGCATACTTGACTGAAATACGAATGCGAAGCTTATGGAAGTATTCACGTTTATCGCCGAAAAATGAATCATTTTACAAAACAGTGCACATTTTCCACAATTGCTATGCATACTGAAAACAGTGCTCAAACGAAGGCTGGTGTATCACAGAGACCAACTCAGCATTCGTTGAAACTGTCGCAGAGGATGCAAGTTGGTGTGAGCTAGGGTCTATATTAACTTCATTGTTTTAGCTACCGGCTTCGAGAAGAATCAGTTGCATACATTAAAGACTCAGTTCACAACCGACGGACTTATTTGACCGGGTGTCGCTGTGTATACTGGAGCAAACTGTTCTACTTTGCGATTTCAAGACTGCATTCCACTCAGCCGATCGCTCCGTTCTCTTTCGGGGAACATCAATGTTGTTTCAACTCATTCGATGCACGGATACAATGGCTCCCACAATTGACACGATAATCGAAAAAGAGGGGCAACTGATTCACACCCAGTCACATCTACTAGTACATTGGGCAAAGTACATTAACGAACAGTTCACCTGGCATGATGTATCCGAGTTGTGATCTGAGGCGTCTGAATCCACCTGTGGTGTTGACATATCAACTCCCACCATCGACGAGGTTTGAGATTCTCTGATGTTGTCGCAGTCGAATAATGCGCCTGGCCCAGTCGGCTCCACCCTCGTTACTGAACGACGGTGGTAACTTACTAGTGACCACTTTAGCCGCTGTTTTCAATATTACTTGACACAATTGGGCAATGGTTTATGACAAGTCAAAACGCATAGGCTCACCATGTCCCATAGATTGATGATTGAGGGAATTGCAAATTCAAGGACTACACAAGTGGATAAAACAAAATATGCATCGGTGGAGCGATAATGGAACGGCATATTAGGAGCGCAGTTGTGGGAATGCGATTGCGCTATATATAACGGAACAGTAAGTTAATATGGTTGATACTCATGTTAAAAAGAACAGTCGGATTGCCCTCCGGCCTTCACCAAATTACGCACACATGTGCGTATTATAATTTCAAACAACCAGTCAGCCGGAATAGATTCCAGAGCATCACTCATATAACAAAGTATATAAGCTTAATGTGACAGATAGCCAGTCATTTTTTGAATACAGCTAATGTGGGGGCGCAGACAACTGATTTAGGAAGAGCGTTCCGGTGTTGGCCTACCATGAGGGAGAAGTAACTTCATCGACACTCTGGACACCTGTATTGCTAACTCGGTTTTACGGTACCCCCTCCCTCACGCGGGTGTTCGGACAGAATTATGAAAGATGGCGGCTTGCATTACTGCGATATTTCGGTATTTGGTATCCAAATATGAGCTCTCCACTGAACACTGTGAGTATCTTCAGTCATTCCTGATACGGAAAGTGGCGCAGACGTTTGTCTTTTCCATTGCTCTACATTGCAAGGCCTCGAGGGTGTCGAGTTCACGTTTTTGCCATGGTTGCCAAACCTGAATAGCGTATTCCACGTGGGGACGCACCTAGGTATTGAGCATCAGAGAAAAAATGGATGAATCCAAACTTCCGACTGCCCTCTGCAAGTGACCAACATGCTAGTTGCCCCTTTATGTGGTGGAATCAGATTGGGACAACCGAGGTCGTTTTGTACCTGCACCTCAAGGTCACATTTCTGAGAGGCAGTCTGCAGATGTATTCGTGCCGAAGTTGGATGTGGACACAGTACTTGTACACATCGAATGCCAGCGCGTTCCTCACCGTAGAATTACCGGACTCATCGAGGTCACACTTTAGGTTCTTGTGATCGTCCAACCCTCAGGCATCAGTAAAGCGCGCAGATAACAGACCTTCAGGTTAAGAGGCAGGAGATAAGACGAGGTGCATGACAACAGTCTAATCTGCAAGATGCATTGTTTAGATGCTCTATCGGACACGGCGCAGTCGCGCAGTCAGTGTCCTTTTTGCGTCTGACTGTCAATGTAAATGCATTCCGATTAGTTTGAAGCAATTACGTCCTGAATTCAGTACTTTTTATACTGTTTATGTTTAAGCCTATTTTCTTACCGCTTTTGTGTATCGTTAGTCTGGCACGTGACCCGTGGCAGCTGTATCCTCCGCCTTTCGATGTTCGGACCATGATTGTTGAACTGAACTGAACCGATGCAGTTAATCAGGAAATGAGACAGGTGATTACCGAGGTGATTTGCGTATTAACTTAAGCCTCTGCTGTAAGACGTTGCGTGCACGTTTAGTAAAATATTGGAAAACAAGATGGAATAACTTTGTTTAGCCGCTGCCGTGGATCCACTTGGGTTCATTTGACTCGCGTTGGCACTGCAAGCGCGGCTTGTGACTACATCGCGCTAGCCAGTATCTCACTGATGGTTTGTTAATGCTTGGGTTTTGCATGGCATTCAAATAGCTGCCACGTGACAGCCAACAAACCGGGGAGGTGATGCTGGGACTATCGATCACCATAGGGCTACTCTGTTGGTAAGACCTGGTCAGGTTATGTTCATTACCACTTCAATTTTTCCTTTTTACAAATTATCTTCGCGAAACCGTTGTTTGCCAACTCACTGTAAATTACGTTTCATCCTGCATTATTGCTTTATAACGACTTCTGTCGAAAATCTCGGGAACGCCATGCCATAATCGCCTTACTAATTTACGTGTTTACTTCTTTTCCTTGTTCAGTCCTCCATGGAAGGCAACGAGTGGAGGTAAAAGCGAGGATTACAGCTCACACCCCAACTACATGTTGTCTTGTTTGGCATGTCTCCAAGGCATTTATCACGCACTTCTTCTCCCCGGTGGAACTGCGGCTTCTGTATTTCGAACTCGGAAGCATCTCTCCCTCGTTCATGACCGTTCATTAGGCGTTACAGCTTCCTCCTTGACTGGCCTCCCTGAGATTATCAGTAATGCCACCGAATTTTCCGAACTGGTTTCCAGCATTCGTTGCCAGACCGACAGTGATTCCATCTTGTTTACCATCGAATCGAGTTCTGGCGTGCCCCCGTGCTTTAATTCACCATGGAATGAACCAGATTTTAGGCTTTATGAAAGCACTTCTTCGAATCCAGCAGTACATCCGGCTCCTGCCGAACCTTCTGTAGTCTTGACTCCAAAACCGTCCATTGTTTTCGGTAATTCTAAGCACGATGCCCAAAACTTTGCAGCTATCTTCACAACGCGCACTAAGGTAAATTTCTTTAGAATGGCCTTTATAGTTTTTGTAAACTGTCCTCTAGCTTTATAGTGTTATTCGAATAGCCTGATCACCATGATACGCCACATCCCTTGATAGTCAACAATCAATGACGTACGGTCATTGATATGCTTTTCAGTTTGGTAAACAGACCGTATTGTGGTATTTCCATGTCCATGTTGCTAACCACCCTGTTGCATCCAAGTGAAGTTAGAACAGCGATATTACATTAGGACACTTTAGTATATTCAACACTGGTAGCAATCGCATAAGCAGGGCAAAACCAAGAACTGTTTTGGACGTATGTCATATGAATGCGCGAATGATTCTTATTTCGAAACGTATTAATATACCGAGCGCTTATTGTTTGATACACAGACACGCACGCATTCACACACACACACACACACACACACACACACACACTGAAATCCGGCATCAGCGGCTGACTGGGTGGGAGTGGTTCAGCTAGACTTAAACCAGTAACTGTATCATTCCTCCTCCCTTTGGTTTGAGCTCACCAATCTGAAAGCACTCGACCGAACGTTGTTGACTGTTAGGGCGGCACAACAATGATTCGCTTCCTGGTTTGGCGTCAGTCACTTGCATGTCCGTTGTTGGTTTCCATGACCACTGACTTATCACTTGTTGGTCGCACTTGGTCCAAATGTAGGGAAAGTATAATGTATAATGTAAGGAAAGTATATAATGGTGATTGAAGCTGGGCTGAAGGGAATCGCCTACCCCGTGCGGTCGATCAGGCAATCGATCGAGCGGACGAATGCGTTTTCAAACACTCGGCTAAATGGACTTTTGCCTCAGAGTTGAGAGGACAGTGTTTTTCGGCGGCATTTATCTGGCTACGTTGGCAGAGATTTTGTTAACACATTTTTCGTGGTCAAGGCTGTTGGAATTTTGATTTATCTTCGGCTGGGCTAGAATTGCTGCGGAGAAATTTCTGGGTGGTTAATTCGGAATAGCGAAAATAAGTGAAGATCCAACAATGGCGACGGACAAGCACGGAAATGTTACAAATTTTTCTGCCGAACATTTTCAAAAGCTGGTTCTTCAGCAACAATCCCAGATGGAAGCACAAATGAAACTGATTGAAAGTTTAACGCAGTGCTTAAACGTACAATCAAACGGAGCAGCTACACGGGACACGCAGGCTGTTTCACTTGATCTTCTTACGAATTCAATCACTGAATTTCATTATGATGCTGATTCCGAATCCACTTTCGAGGCGTGGTTCAAACGTTGGGAGGATATGTTCCAGACGGATTTCAGCCCTCAAGATGATTCATGGAAAGTGCGCCTTTTACTCCGCAAGCTCGGAACTAATGAACATACAAGATTCCTTGACCACATGTTGCCCAAAGAGCCGATAGACATCACTTTCAACGAAACAGTGGCAACACTCAAAGAAATTTTTGGTGAGTCGACATCATTGTTTAGCATTCGCTATCAATGTCTAAAAATTGTAAAGCGTGATACAGACGATTATGGGGCACTAGCAGACATGGTTAACCGTGAATGTGAACGTTTCAAGTTACGCTGTTTGACGGATGACCAGTTTAAGTATCTTATATTTGTCAGTGCTTTACAGTCTTCACGCGACGCGGAAATCCGCACTCGGCTCCTAGCTAATTTGGATCAAGATCCAGATTTGACATTGAAGTCTCTTGTAGGCGAATGCAAACGGTTAATTACCTTGAAACACGACACGGCTATGATTGAGCAGAGTTGCCCCACCATTGCCGATACTGTTCATGCTGTGCAAAAAGCAAGAAAGCCTGGCTCGAATAAGTCGTTCAACAGAAAGCCGAACAAGCCGCCTACACCTTGTTGGTCATGTGGTGAATGGCATTTCGCACGATACTGTCCATTCAAGCGTCATATTTGTGATAAGTGCCATAAACGCGGCCACAAGGAAGACTTTTGCCATCAGTCCCGGCCAAGAGATGTGAAACAGTTCTACCGAAGGAAGAATTTCAGAAAACCTGACGCAGAATCACTATCGGTGATTGCTACGTTTCACAGCGATTCTAAAACACGCCGCCGATTTATCACTGTGCTTATCAACGGAATCCCAACCCGGCTGCAGTTCGATACGGCATCAGATATAACGATCCTTTCCAAGAACACTTGGAAGCACGTAAAGAAGCCGAAAATGATTGATTCCAACAAAATCGCTCACAATGCATCCGGTGGAGTGCTGAAGTTGGTCGGAGAAATAAATTGCAAAATTGCATTCAACGGAGTGGAAAGGCCGGAACCTGCTACTTGTCTGATTGACCCAACTTGAACCTCCTTGAACTTGACTGGATGGAAAAATTACAACTATTTGATGATCCAATAAGTCAGATTTGCAATACAGTACAAACCGACCCAGTACATTCATCATTGTCGATAGAAGAGAGCACCAGAAAGCTAAAGCAGCAGTTTGTCACCTTGTTTGACGATGGTCTCGGCCACTGCACTACGTTCAAAGCAAAGTTGTGTCTTCGTGAAGGAACCAAGCCAGTCTTTAGAGCAAAAAGACCGGTACCGTATGCAGCCATGACAGCAGTTGATCAGGAGCTCGACCGACTGGAACGAGCCGGTGTCATCACACCAGTGAACTACTCTTCATGGGCTGCGCCGATTGTTGCTGTGAAAAAGCCGAACGGTAAAGTGCGAGTCTGCGCCGATTTTTCGACTGACCTGAATGCCGCATTGGACGACCATCAATACCCCCTTCCGATACCAGAAGATATCTTTGCCAAGCTGAATGGTGGGAAGTGTTTCGCCAAGCTCGACTTGTCCGATGCCTACCTCCAGGTTGAGGTTGATGAAAGCTCAAGAGAATTGCTGACCATCAACACTCATCGTGGCTTGTACCAATACAACCGCCTCCCTTTTGGCGTGAAAACAGCACCAGCCATTTTCCAGCAGCTGATGGACACCATGCTCGCGGGAGTTTCTGGAGCCGCGGCGTACCTGGATGATATCATTTTAATGGGTCGGACAGCAGAAGAACTATTTCAGCGGCTCGCTGAAGTGCTTGTACGTATCCAGTCATATGGTTTTCGTATCCGCGAAGATAAGTGTACCTTTTTTACACCAACCATCAAGTTTCTCGGTTTCATCTTCTCAAAAGACGGTCGTCGCTCTGATCCAGAAAATATCCGAGCTATTCAAAAGATGCCCCCACCTGTGGACTTGCAGTCGCTGCGTTCATTCTGTGGCCTAATCAGTCATTACAGCGCTTTTCTGCCCGAACTACATCGCCTGCGTGCCCCGTTGAATAAGTTGCTGAGCAAGGGCAAAACCTGGAATTGGACACCAGAATGCCAGACTGTGTTTGAGCGGGTCAAGTCATTGTTGGCTTCAGACTTACTCCTAACTCATTTTGATCCTTCCCGGGAAATTGTCCTTGCCACAGACGCATCGAGTCTAGGGATCGGTGCCGTAGTTTCCCATACGTTCGCAGATGGATCTCAGAAGGCGATCGCACATGCCGCCAGGATGTTAACGAAAGCTGAAAGAAACTACAGTCAGATCGAGAAGGAGGCATTGGCCATAGTGTTTGCTGTGAAGAAATTTCACAAGATGCTGTATGGTCGCCGCTTCAAACTTGACGGATCACAAGCCGCTGCTGGCCATTTTCGGCTCGAAAAAGGGAATTCCTGCCTATACAGCCAATCGACTCCAACGATGGGCACTTACATTGCTGGGCTATGATTTTGAAATCTGTTATCAGTCAACGAATTCGCTGGGCCAAGCAGATGCGTTGTCACGCCTCATTGATTCCCAGCAACAAGAACACGAGGACACCATCATTGCCTCAGTTGAGATCGAACCTGATGTCAAATTCCTGGTGAACGAGGCACTACATGGTATGTCAGTTACGGCCGATGCTGTGCGTACCGAAACGCTTCGAGACCCAATCCTGAAGAAGGTGACACACTTCCACAGAACCAGCTGGCCACGTTCGTGTTCATCTGCCGAAATGCAGCAGTTCTATCAGCGAAGACATTCGCTTTCCATTGTGGACGATTGCATCATGTTCTCAGACAGAGTAGTCATTCCGCAGGCGTTGCAACAAAGAGTGCTGCGACAGTTCCATGCAAGACATCCAGGGCTCAACCGAATGAAAGCGCTTGCCAGAAGTTATGTGTATTGGCCGTTTATGGACAGGCAGCTGGAGCAGCTAGCTAAAAGTTGTATCAACTGCGCTACCGCCTCAAGGGCACCGCCAAAGACTGAACTCCGTTCATGGCCTAAACCAACTAAACCTTGGAGTCGTGTTCATGTTGACTTTGCAGGCCCAATCAATGGCCAGAGCTTTCTCATAGTGGTCGACGCTTATAGCAAGTGGCCCGAAGTGTTCCTCATGAGAAGCACGAAAGCCAGCGCAACCGTCTCTAGGTTGCGACAAATCTTCAGCAAGTTCGGCTGCCCTGAAACATTGGTGACGGACAATGGAGCACAGTTTACTTCGGCCACATTCACGGAATTCTGCCAACGTTGCGCCATCAAACACGTGCGGTCTCCACCATTCCACCCACAATCGAATGACCAAGCGGAGAGGTTTGTGGATACATTCAAACGCGCTCTCCTCAAATCAAGAAGGGAGGGAGACATAGAGGAGGTGATCGACCGCTTCCTATTTCTGTGTCGATCTACACAAAATTCACAAACACCGGGTGGAAAATCACCAGCAGAGGCAATGATGAAGAGAAAACTTCGCATGCCATATGATGCAGTTCGACCATCCTCAGAGTCCATAGCTGGTGAAAGAAACCTAAACATGGAACGTGATTTTAATCGGCGGTTTGGTGCCAAACAACGTTCGTTTAGACCGGATCAGCCAGTACTTGTGCGTGATTATCGGGGTGGACACGCGAAATGGACGCCAGGCACGGTCCAGCGCAAGCGCGGAAGCGTCATTTACGACGTGCTGGTTGGAACGCAGGTATGGGTACGCCATGCAAACCAACTGCGAACAACAATGTGTCAGCCACAAGCAACAGAATCCGCCAAGCTTCCATTTGACCTGTTGACAGACAGCTTCAACTTGCCTGCAGAGCCAGTAGAAGAACCCTGTCATCAGACGAATAGTACCAGACCGCAAAGCACGGAATTCGAATCCAGAACACTACAGCCAAGGCGATGCACCGGTAGGCGAAGAATCCCTTCCAGGAGGCTTCAGGTTAATCCCCGGCTAGCTTCATACACAACGGCAACAGCTTCAGGAGGGGAGGTATCCGGGAATCAGATAAAAACATAAAAGAAAAAAGGGAATGTATATAATGGTGATTGAAAGCTGGGCTGAAGGGAATCGCCTACCCCGTACGGTCAATCAGGCAATCGATCGAGCGGACGAATGCATTTTCAAACACTCGGCTAATTGGACTTTTGCCTCAGAGTTGAGAGGACAGTGTTTTTCGGCGGCATTTATCTGGCTACGTTGGCAGAGATTATGTTAACACGTTTTTTGTGGTCAAGCCTGTTGAAATTTTGATTTTTCTTCGGCTGGGCTAGAATTTTTGCGGAGAAATTTCTGGGTGGTTAATTCGGAATAGCGAAAAATGTGAAGATCCAACAGATTCGCTTCCTGGTTTGGCGTCAGTCACTTGCATGTCCGTTGTTGGTTTCCATGACCACTGACTTATCACTTGTTGGTCACACTTGGTCCAATTGTCACCTCGTGATCATGCCATCCCCAGTTTATGCTTCTCTGATCTGTTGTTTTGACGCTGGCTGTCTCCCGTCCCTAGGCTGCAGGTAAACGGACTTAAATAGTTTCCGACTCTCTCAAGCATTTCCCTGCCGCAATTATCAGAACGTTCCTTCGCTTTTTTTGCCTCTTACACGAAAGAACAGATTTCTGCCGATCGAAATGCACGAGAACATCTGCGGACGCCAAAAGTATTCAATCGCCTTGAAAACACCTTCCTGATTCCTGTTCCAATTCCAAGTTTGGTGTTTATGTGAGAGTTGATGAAGCAGTTACAGATGGCTCGCTACGGATAGCATGAACCTGACAAATTGAATGACGGCACCCAAGAATAATTGCAGTTCGTGAGCACTTGTGTGCTGGCGCTTCAATTAGTGCTATTGTCCTTTTTTAAGGGCCAAATTCTAAAGATAGCCGATACCCAAGGTACTTTACACTCGGATCAAGGGATTCGCATTCTCTTTGTTAACCAACTCGGAATCTGTTAGTCTTCAGAATGACCTTCAGGACACGGCCCGTAGCCTTAAGGATTTACCGGCGCGTAGCCTTAAAGATCACAAGCCTGCCTTGTAATCCGAGGGTGCGGGTTCTAGCCTGTGTAGAGACCAGTCTACCCTCGCAACTTCTCTAACCCACGTGTGACTAGTGGTGGTTGCGACGCAGCGAAGCGTTGGTGCTGCATACCGACATACTGCTGATGCCTTTATTTTGCCCAGAGTACTGAAGTGTTCGGTAATAGTTCGTCCAGTGACCAAATTGCCACCCACGTATGCACATATGTTTGGTATGTCTTTCGCCGATAAATCAATAATACATTGAAAGATAACAGTAGCCGGGTGTGTTCCAAAAGGTATGCGTGCGTAGCGGAATAATCCAAGGTGATGGCCAATATTATTGTATGCATATTACTCCGCATCAAGTTTGTTGCTAAGCATGACTCCGATATAGTTTTGTGAAAAGCTCACTACAGAAGAGAGAAGCTTAAATGTCTACAATCTTCGAAAGCAGATACCTGTCTAGCTGGAATATCTTATTGATTATGACGTTGTAGTCCCCACAAATTCTTATGCCACTGTCGCTCTCCAATACTGGCACCATAGGGGTTGTCTTCTCCGAAAACTGCATTGGTTCAACCGTACCCTGCAGCTGGAGTCAGCACAGTTCACTATCGACCTTATCACAAGAAGCATAGGGAAGAGCGTGGGCCTCCCAAAACCTTGGCGTAATTATTTAGAAGGCCGGACCTATATTGATCGAACAAGTCCGAATGCTCTGCAGGATCTCAGCTAACTACGGATGTGTTTGCACTAAGTTTATGTCCGACATTCTCCTGGGGAGCTTTTTATATCCGTCGTGTCCAATTATCTTTGGGCCTGGCCCTCCAGAAACGTACACGCACATATGGTCTGTTGAATTCTGTGAAAAATGTGTGCTGTAAACGTACGCAGCACATTCACCATCTGTACCGTGTAACATCGCATTGTGTGTCGTCTCGCGGTTGCATACTTAATGTGTTATACTCTGTCATAGGATTCCTCTGCTCCCTCTTCACCCAGCGGATTTATCATATACTCACTCGAATCGGACTAACTTCCGGTATTCAGTGGGCACATGTCTACGGAATTGTTCCCTACCGATCGTGATTTGTGTAACCAAAGCTGTTTTAGCACGCTTCTTGTTCACATACAAACGTAGAATATAATTTTTAACAACTCTCGCTGCTGCGAAACTGCATCCGATAAAGCATTATCCGCGCTATTTGGTGATCCTAGCATTTCTCCTATAGGATCCTTTCTAAGGAAGTTACGACTTGTGGCTTTCGACTTAATGCGCCCTTCGCCGTATCTTAGTCGCTGACATCCTCCCATTACAAGCTAAGTAATACGGCTTAGCCCACTACGGACCATTGTCAACCTATAAGGCAGTCAAACCGCGTTTGCTATGCCCTTTCCGTTTCACACCCACCTACGATAACCGGATTTCACAGCCATACAACAGGACGGAGACAATGTGCATCCTGCCCTTAAGTTCGAGACCGATATCGCAGCGACGCCATAAGTGTATCAGTGGTGATAGCAAACGATCGTTTGTGATCCACTGTAAGACCATTCCAACACCATTCCCAGCCGTGATACGACTCCCTGGATAAGTGAAGTGAGCCGCTTGTTTCAAAAGTCACCACTAATGATGAGCATAGGCACAAACGCCTGCCAATCGTGGAGTAGTGTTTTACATTTGTCCGGGGTGAAGTAGAAATGGTACTTCGATGCCTCCATCGCTTAGCTGTCCAAAATGTTTTGGACGGCTTGTGAATCATCCCCAAACAAAACGATATCATAGGTGTAATCCAAGTCCGCGACTCTATCGTCAGGGTGTAACTTCACAATGGCTTGTCGCCTGAAAAACTCCAGTTGCCTAAAACATGTGAATTAAGACCCATACAAAAATCCTAGACGCAACAGAGATAAGCAAAATTTCGCGATTATTAGCGCAATCATTGCGTGGCCCTTTATTGTGGATCTGGACAACTACTGACTCTCATCATAAGTTTGAGATCTTCTCATCATTCCAAACCTACGTAAACACCGATAGTATTTCGTTGACAAGTACCTCCCCGCCAACTCTGAATAGAACCGATGAGAAGCTGTCAGTGCCTCGTGGCCATACAACGTTTTTAAGTTTGAGCTATGCATGGGATTTCTGCCTCGGTAGGAGGATCTGTGGAGACAGAGCAAGCACAATCCGATGGAAAAAGATATTTCGCTGGTAATTGAAGAGTAAAGTGCTCTGATAACGATCCAAACGCCTAAGCAGGTTATTTTTTTTTCATGCCGTTTAACTCAATTTGTCTGAGTTACAGCCATTGACGTAGAGCAGGTAAGACAAACTGCCTACGTTTCTGGTCGATGCAGCGTCTTCCATCTTAGAAGGTCATTTACACCGCCAGGATTCACGGTCAGGTCAAAAGCTTACTTCCAGATGTTGAGAAATAGATCGACGGAGTTCTTTGTGTTCCGCGTCGACGGGCACAGTATGTCGACGATCTCGCTGTTCTGGCTATGTTTGCGTTCTAGAATGGCATCCGACTCTTGAGAGACACTGTCGACCAGACTAGTTGGGCTGGCCTTCCACACTGCAGATCCACGCGACCCACTTAGTACTTGACCAAACATTAAACAATACGGTTTGCATTATTATCGCGTTTGTAACCGCGTGCTAGTCTTATATTTCATTTTATTTTATATGATGCTCAATGTATTATAGTGTCATGTTAGATTTGATGCGTGTCTGTGAACGCGGCAGGGTAACTGCTCCACCAATCTCACTTCTTCACTTCACAGTATCCCGACGTCAGTTACTGCGTGTCATCGACCGGTTGTAGGCGCCTTGATCCGGTGGTTTGTTTGTGGTACATTGGTTTTACTTCGGTCCAAGTTCCGCCACTTGTTACTGTTAAATCATCGGCCCTCCACTTCTCACCCTATCCCTGTTATCTCAGTCTCTATCAACTACCATTTCTCGTCCGCCTTCCCTTTGTGATTCACTGTGGTTCATCTGTTTGTTTTCCAACTCTGACCACCCGTTCCCTGCTGCCTTATTTTCTCTGTAGCGTTTATTTGACTCAAATGGCTCGTCGGATGCACATCCTCTTCTCCAAGCGCAAACAGAGTTATTTCGTTTACTTCCGACGGTATTGTGCTCTCTGGCTGAACTGTGGGACGCCTTCAACCAATCCCCAATGGGATTCGTCCATCCGTCTGGTTTGTGTCTAGCTTCTTTTCTCATTGTTCCCTTCATATGCTCTTGTCACACGAATGATTAGATTTTGCGGGTATTACCTCCTATTAGTGATTGGATCGTGACAAAATCTCGATATTCATCTCCATAATTACGGTCACTGGGACTGTTACACGCTCGCAGTTCACGCCTGGTCTGCTACTTGTTACTCTACATTGAGTTCACGGATATCAGCAGTGCTGTCTGACGTCTCTATCTCTGTGCCATCAAGCAACAGTTTCACTGGCTACAAAGGTTAATAGTTTAGTTTGGGTTCATCCTATGTGAGAGTGGATTGCCACACGCAATTCCAATCAGTGGTGCAGTTTAATTTGAAGTGAATATCTATTATTTAACGATATTCGCTAATCATGGGCCATTTGGATAGACGGGCTTATTCTGGAGACGTTTTTTTGTCGCATCATTGTGACAACCAGCGAAATGCATTAGTTACCTTCCACTCAGCACCAGCGTGCGACCGATCATCGGGTGATCGAACCAGTTCCATCCGGATTAATCCGTTCCTGTTTCTGTATGTATCCTACCTTCATACTTAGCTTTGAATGGTAACTCGCATAGTAGCGATCTCTGAAGCTGAATCAGACGTAGCGAGAGTTTATGTTTTGTCACAATAACAAACTGTGAAGGAACACTGTGCACTTCACACAGAGACGCATTTTTGGCGGAACAAGCCGAAAAGCCATGTAAACATCATAGGCGACCAAGGGTATCTCCAAGCGCAATTTTGACGAATTTTCTTTCCCTCAAATGACTAGTGAGCATAGAAAAAGGAAAAGGGATGTGTTGCAATCCCACTCCGAATTGCTCAACTTTGACAACTCCATTGGGTTTCTGATGCATTGGCCTCTGCTTCGATTGCTAGAGCACCTCAAATAATGCAAGCCGACCATAGCCGTGTTTCTCAGTTCACATATCACGTGTTCGATATACTCGCCTTTATGCAAACATTTTACCTGCCTGTCATGTTGCTGCGAGTGATGTCCACCTGAGCTGTCTTATTTCCGCATTTTAGTTCAACTCCACCATGAACCTCACCACTGGGTTCGCCTATGGAGAATCAAGACAGAATGCTAAGGTTATACTTGGATATAAATTCATTACTCTGCATTATAAGGCCTGCAACACTGAATAGCTATTCGGTACTCGTAATGTGATACAATGAGCTGCACTATGCCATTGCTAAATGCATTAACTGCATGCTTGCGCATGTATGGAACCTATAAACGTATGCGTTCATCCTAAGTGTACTCTCTCCTCACCAAGATTCCGTTGAACTAGTCTATTAACCACCTCAGTGAATTGATCACAAGAACATCTTTCGTTTACAGCTCCTCGCGAAACTGCTGTAAAACATGATCCTTCTATGCGTACAAAGTAGCAATTTTTGCTTTCATGGTTAAACACACCAACAGTTATATAGTGTGGCGATTGGTGGCCAGCTGGATCCCTTACCTGCGGACGTACTCCTGAGTATGGTTAAAGAGAGCATTTGGTATCATCTGACGGTATCTTGATAGTATACTGTTAATAATGTATTTTAATGAAGACTGCACGTGCTACCGGAGCACTCAATAGTATGTGTGCCCGAGTCTTGCGGTGACATGAGGAACCAAGCACATCACTCGTCTCCCACTCCTAGAGCGTCTCTTCACACGATGACCAAACGGTTTTGATCATGTAATCTGTCTACTCCGATGTGATTTGGACAGATCAATTCGTGCATCCTATGAACTACTTGCAAACATAATACGAACGTTTTCTGTCCCTGGTTCTGTTTCATCGAGCTCTTATAGTTTGCACTCCGTTACATAGGTGTCTGGTGAGAACGTTGTTTTGCGCCTTTTTATTTTCCGACCGAAACGGACTGTTTCACGCAACGCAAACGGGATATCGCATTGTCTAGTCCTTTTGCGAAAAGCGATGATATAAAGGCAGGAATGACGATTGATGGAATAGCGTTCCATGCCCGAGATACTCGAAATGAGAAGATTGGTCATCGGCAGTTTAACCGACTAGTCCGTGGTCAGGCCAGCATTCTTGCCGCGTTGCTACAGATCGCCAATTTACGTGTAACCTTATGAGATCACCTCGCAGACGTCAATGCTCACTACCATACGCTGTAAGAGTTTTCAGTCTGTGTTGACGGGGGAGGTTGAACGGACCTCCTAACGTCTTTCGTCGCCATATTTAGTGGGGTTTCAAACGGATCGATTTTGTGTTTCAATTGAGGACACTAAAGCGGGATCGCATATTTTATATTGAGCTTAAGTATGTGTTCAACATTTGGGAATGACAAAAGTTCGAGCTTCCCGAACGCTCTCCGCTGGAGACCAAACTACTCTCTGGCTGGCTTTGACCTGTTTCCATATGTATGAGGTCGCCGATGCGACTTGTCTGACACTGCTACCTTACGTCACAGTATCAGTATTTTCGCATGTTTTGTGTGACTTAACGTTGATATAATACCGTGTTCGGTGTGATGAACTCTTCGTAAGTGTACGTGTGTCAGAGGAAAGAAGCTTGGGTTCAATCAAGGCAGTTTGTTGGATGTCTGACTATGGAAGCCTTTTGATCAAAAAATACTTTCAATAACTGATCAGGATTCTTGTCGCTCTGCTGTTGGTCAACTAAGGCTCCCTAGTAGGAGCAAAATTATCGAACGCCATCGGCCTGCTTGCCTCAGTGTTTACAATCCACTGTGCGGACAGAACATATTTGAGTCTGGTTGAACAGGCCTAGATATGGGAACGATTTGCATTCTCAGAAAAATTCTTTGGTTATAAGAACTGACCCAAAAGCAACTAGGTTTTGACACTGGGTTTGTCTGGTCTCTGACCATTGACGCAGCTGGTATGAATGGCTCTGAAGGTACAAAAGTCTATCCACGGCATTTCTCAATGGATCATGGGGCATCGAATCACTTTAAGTTCCAATCTCGTCGTAACGGTTCCAAACGTTTTGATGTTGGAGGGATTACCTTAACACCGACTTCGGTTCTGATAACGATCACCCCAAACCCGATAGGATATATATTTCCTTCCTACGACCGTACCATCTTTTTTTATCATTTGTGTTACCTCATCCTCTGTTGATTGTTCCAGACACCGTTTCATCGAAGGACGTTTGGCCGTCTTCCCGTTCTGTGTCCATCGAGCAACTTCCATTCCTCACAGCGCTCGGCACCTCGGCGCTTGCACGACCTGCATTGCGCATGCTGCTTCAGCCGATCGCCTTGCTGCACCCTGCTCCTTTCCTTATTAGTATGGCATTATCCTGGCCAGCAAATTTATACGATGAGAACGAGAGCGCTCTCCCGTTTAGCCGAGCTGGTACACCCAAGGAGCACTCTGTGATGAGTCTGCTGACCCCCTATTTGTCACCTGCGAGCGGTAATAAAGGTAAACATCCATATTCACCGTCAGCCGGGTTACTTTTATATTCATTAAATCATGTTCACTACATTCCATATTTGTGACAGCCATCCTTTCAGTAACATGCTCACAACTAGTTAACTCTATTTCCGTCTTCCTTATCCTCTGTTGTTATCCGGTGGTGTAGAATATCCTGTGTTCAGCGAATATGAGGCATCACATGTGGCTATCGTTGCACCACTGACTAGCCCACATACGCAATGTTATTCTGATGAATCTTCATCGATCTCGACCGAAGAAGTGTTGATGGTGTCAGATTTGCTTGCATCCCCAGTCTTCCGTCACATTGCCTCCAAAATGCTGTAACTACTATATTACTTGTTTTCTGAAGTACGCTCTACTCTTACCTTCAACTTAGTATGGCTTAGTAAGCAGTTCCTTTTTCCACACGCGTTGTATATTTTCCTGTAATCCTTCGGGAGCCAAGCCTTAATCCGGTGAAGATTGGTGAACCCAGTTTCTACGACTCGCATTGCCCCGATACATTATTGGAGGTAATGGAGTAGAATGCAGAATAGAATACATAGGAATGCGGTTATCAAGCAAGTGGACAACCCTTGACCTAGCGGCTTCACTGTCAGATAACGTCTCCAACCGCTGATGTGGCCTACTCCGGGCCCCTATGCACACCAATATGACCAAGTCTCTCAGTCACTTTCTTCTTATCATTTTGCCACCTCATCGACTGGCCACTCCTCAGTTTCACTCATCTGAGCGCAATTGAGTTAACCTGCACATGCGGTTGACGGTCATCCGGTATACGAGGGATGTAAGTTATCTAACACGATGTGATGGTAGCTAATGGCTTGGTTGAACAGAGCCACGCGTGAGCAGCGGACCGGAAGTCAACGTGTTGTCGTCCACGTGAGATGATCCCAATTGCACAGACCTGGAACGAACGAAGCGCAACGCGGATACAAGCAATGGAAACCGAACTAACCTGGCCAACAGCCTGGTAGCAGTGCGCACGCGCCAAGGAACCTAAAATGAAGGCAAGATATGTGATGACATCCGGTCGACCGACTGATCGGAACTGACACCGAACCAGTAGAGTGAAAACATACCAAGTGCGGCCCCACCAGCTGAGTAAAGTTGCACGGGCAGGTGGTGTGCATTGGATTGGACATTGTGGATAAACAACGTTTGCGGACCAAAGAACTCGCTAACCTATCATAGAACGGAGGAGAAGCAGAGTTCGTCTTGATTTTTAGTAGGCACATAATTGAACGCTTTGGGTTTGGGAAGTGTTGTAATGCCGCACACTAGGGTCTTTCCAAACCTCATTTGGTGGACTCCGGTAATACTCATTCGTCTTCTCCACCAGATATGCGCAATTCTCCGCAAGCACTGGTAATCAGAGGTGACTAGTTTCCTGTCTCCATTGTAAATTGTCTGTTTTAGCTCCATACAGTAGCACTGATCGTATCACAGCGTTGCGCACGATGTCCTAGGCTGCGGCCCGGATATTTGTTTTGTTAAGCTTTTAACATTCAGTTTAATCCTTGTTTTAGAGTTTTTTACCATGGATATTTCCTTTTTCTCATCTTCTTTCGGAGATCTAACTAGTCTTCAGCCACATCACTTATCCTCATCTTGTTTTAGATTGTTTGAGGTACGGAGGCAACATCCTTGCGGTATCCGTTGACAAAGTTATCGTATGGACTTTTCTGTTAAGCGATTTCGCCTTTGAGACCCAACACGGGTCCGTTCAAACTTTGTTAGAACAATGCCGAAATTAACTATAACAGAGACTTACAACCTTGCGTCAGCACATAGACTGAAGCGTCCAATTGGGAACAGCTCTGTGTACTTGGATCTCCATATGAACCCCCCCCCCCTATATTCAAACCCGCCTTCCTGTGCTGGTACCGACTTACCGGCATAACGTTTCTGCGTTACGGGAAGCCCAATTTCCTTTGATGCAAACTGTTTGTTCGCCTTATCTCTTACGGTCACCGAACTCCCGGTGGGCGGATACTTGGATGTGGAAGGCGTGTGGAAAACGGGACTAGGTGGCACTGCCACGAGGCTAAGTCGACAATCACGAGTCTACGACTGTCTGAGCTATCCCTCACTTTGCGAAGCCGATTTCTACTGACCATCGGCATTTAGATCTTACGCTCTTTCACGCGTCTGGAACCGAGCCTGCAAGTACGCTAGAATCACGACGTCTTTTTGATATACCTCCCGGCGTGGCTGACGCGCTGAGAGCAGGGCAAGTTGCCACTACTGGAAAGAAGGGTGATCAGACAAGTTGGCCTGTACGAGTCGTTGCGGAGGCAATCAGATGCTTGAGGTAGGCTGTGAGGTTCGAAGATCCAACTTCGGACAAATCCGAGTCCTAGTGAGCAGACAGATTTGGGTATGATTCGATTTGGTTCATCGTAATTATTTTCCAAGCCGCAGGGGATCGAGGGAATGCGCACCACTGACGAGTCCCAACAGGACAAAATGATCTTCTAGTGCTTTTCCGGCTTTGCTAGTTTAGCTACGCAGCTTGGAATCTGAGCACGATGAACCAAATCGAATCATTCTCAAATCCGTCTACTCATTTGTACTCGAAAACTAAGTCCTACCAATCTTCAAAGTTCTGTGTGGATGCACGGCACCGGCAAGGGAAGTCCTGATTGGAACAGCCAATCACTATCCTCTGCGCGCCTAGTAACCTGTATGGCAGTGGTGGATGAGTCGGACCATATCGCAGTTAGCTTCCAGTCCGTGATGGTCGGCTCAATGGCATAAACTGATGGCCAGTTATGCAGGCCACAAGCGGTCCTGGGTTCCGTCCCTAGCAGGGGACCGAAGGAATGTGCGTCCACAAGGAGTCCTAATAGGGTGAAACGATGGTCTGGTGCTTCTCTGAATTGCTAGTTTACCTATACGGCTTGGTATCTAATTACGAGGAACCGAGTCAAATCGGGATCCGTCGAACCGGAATCGACTCAAGGCTACGATTCTTGACCCGTTGCGATCTAATCTCCATGTTGAAACAAATCAGGCTGCCAATGCTCCTCAACTCCCGATCATTATATCCCCGCTTCAGTCGCATCCGGTGCTCGTTACCACGGTCTGCAGGTAGTCCTTACTAGAGCCTGCAGTCGTATGAACAGATGTGACCAAGTGTGCCGCTTCGTAGCCCCTGAGCCACGAGACATACTTGCAATCGTTGATACTGAGTTGAATTCCGAAGTATCCCCTCCCCCAGGTTGTTGAGCTCAGCGGTTACTCGTGCTTCCGCTGTGGGAGGACTCGTTGGCGCCTACCGTAACGACGGTGTGCATGATCAGGTTTTTTGTTCAGTCCATATCAGTCACGGATAGTTGCCTGTGAATGCAATCTGTCGTAGTCTTATGCGCCGCTGTCTGTAAATAAATAAATAACCTGCTTCCTCTCGGCAACGCGAGGTGCGCCAACACAGGTATGACCATATAAATATACAAAATGTCATAATACAATTCGGTGTATGCGAGCGCTGCGTGTCGTAGTTAAGCCGCATAGCGGCTCAGGTGTTCTAGTTACAACTAGAGATGCTCAGTGACCCTAATAGAACTTCAACGATGCCAGAAAGGGGAGGCAACTATGTTTGAATCTTGCGTGTTTCATCTTTTAGGAACGCTATGTTATTATCGTGTGACCAATAGTTGCACTTACAACTGTTTGAAACCGAGTGGATTTACTACACCTCATCTGTATGGGCTACCGAAATACATAAAAGCGGAGTACACCTGAGGCCGACCCTGTCTATGATAAACGCACCCTAACACGAACCAGCTCGCTGGTTGGTGAAGGTACATTCTCCGTTGAAAGATTAAATTAATATACATCCCCAAACATTCGTTTGCGCTTACCAATGACCTAGACTAAAATGAACTTGCTCAACAAAGTCATGCGCTTTTTAAATGTGAAATCCTTATTTACCAACGTCTCGTTGCACCAGACTACAAATTACATCCGTAAAATAGCAGAAACTTCCAATGTTCGTTGCCGATACCGGTTGAATTATGGGGTAATTTGAGCAGCCCATTGCACTTCATTACGTATTTAAAGACGAGCATTTCAGTGGAGTACTAACAACTGGTCCAACCTCACGATGACTGACTTGTTCGTGAGCACTTTTCCGATCAATGCGGATAGTGGCGGCTTTTTAAATACACACTGAAACGCATGCTGCACAGTTATTTACCCACCCACTGCGGTCGATTTGCTGGCTGTTACATCAAGGTCTATCGATTTTGATCACTGCGGACCACGCTCACGTGAGGATTTTCACAGCTATGGTTACAGTCCCCTGATCTCGGTGACCTCGTCCATCTTTCCCCCGACAACTCGTTTCTTCATTTTTCTATGTTAACTTCCTGACTTTTCTGTGCTGGGGATTGGACTAGCATGGAAATAATCTTAAGACAGAGAAAACACTCATTTCCACGTTACAGGTCACCTGTCAGGCGCGCCGGCCTTGGCCACCAAAAGCTAATCTCTGATCGTTCTCACGCTGCTGCAACTCCGCTTCACAATTAACTGCTACCCCCTTCCCCTTTTTGTGCAGCTAACTTACTGCTTTCGGTGTTCAAACTATCAACATTTGTAGTTAATACGTCTCAATGGTAACGATATCAACCAATGTCTTCTTCCCGCTGAGACGCAGGTAGAAGATGAATACACTGCCCAAACAGTGTATAATCCATAGTATTAAGTTTACATATTCTGATGTCATACTTGCTCAGTGCGAGGAAGTTGCGGGGATGCCGCCGCTGTTTGAAGCAAAAATTACCGACCTATTACTTGCACTTCAGTCTTATCAAAGGTGATGGGGCGTCCTTTCCAGTTCAATGTGATCGAATTCTTACTGTCTCGAAAGAACTCATAACATGGATTCCTGAGCTCTTGCATCACTTGCCCTATGGAATTTCTAAATCAGCTTATTAATACACTTAATTGTGATTCCCCACGTTTTCTCCATCTCGACATACATAAAGCCTCCACTTAAGTCAAATT